GGTCTTGGATCTGTTTTTATATCTAATTCACAGATTTTAACACGGTGGAACGAAAAATTCTCCCTAGAGCGATCATACTGAAAAAAATCTCAGTTTTTTGGGCGACTCCCCTTTCTAGTAAAAAAGGAACGAGAAAGAAATAACCCTCAGAAAAATGATATGATATTGTTTCACTGTCAGTTGGTTAATTATAATTACTGTCATTTAGGGCTTTTCTCAGCGTATCCTGTGTTTCACCTTATCTTTACATCTAATTGTTGTCGTGGATAGGCGTCATTATGCACACAACTTCTCAAACTGAGAAAATAAAAAGAACTTAGTTTCTTAAGAGTGTTTGGAAATCAGATGGCAAATTCCATACTTTCTGAGTCCTTATTTTCCCCATGTTTTGAAATAAGTAATAATACACACCTGTCACAGTACTTCAAATACAATATCAAACATCTCGAATTCCACCTAAAACACTCCCACATCTTTACGCCAAAATTTGACAGTTTTCTGTACAAGAACCTGTTTAGCCCAGAAGTGGAAACAGGTTCTTATTTTCTAAAACCTAGAAAAAACTGATTCTGTATCCTTGGGCGAAGAAGATAAATCAACATTCAGGATCCTCTTTGGAGACATTAGGTGCCTCATTACTCCAACTTCAATTGTAATAGTATAAAGGTTTTACCTAAGGAACGATCTGAATACCACTAAATACTCTTAGCTATAATACTTCAAAGTATTCCGCACAGTACAAAAAATGAAGAAAATCTTGGTCTTCAAAAGTTAGCTAACTTCGTAGGAAGAGCTCAACAGTTAAAGTTTTAATTTGTTAGAAATTGAGCTACAAATTACAAAAGGTGGCGCCCGTTTATCGAATATCATGAAAATGTTTGACCAATGACAGCTGGCATATCGCTTGAAATTTGCGGGGGATTAACCCAGTGTTGACGACTTCTTTCGTGGGTGCTTGATCAAGTTTAAAGGGCAGAATGTAGTGAGAGTCATCGTTAAAGAAAAAAAAGAAACTGGCATATCGCTTGCAGGGTTTTCGGTAGCATTTGGATGTACCGGATGCAGTGGTTCAGCTGGTCCGGGGGCATGCCCCCCCACCCGGGAAATTTGTAAAATTGGACTCTCTAAAATGCAATTTCCTGCGTTCTCTGGACCGGAATTGGGTAACCGGGAAGGTCTTTTAAGGCGTTATATAAAAAATGCTCACGAAAAAATATACATGTGTATGGTTTCAAACGTTGTCGCTGCCGTGCTAAGCTGGCCCGACTGTAGCTCGACTGCAGCAAGACATTAGCACGTCTTGGTTTCAGACATCGAATTTAATTCAGTCGAATAGAACGGCTGTTGCCAAAAACAAAACACAAAAATAAAAAAACGATTCGGCAAAGTTTTAAATGTATTCTAGTGTATTCGTACTTTGTAATTTGCCGCAGCGCAACGTTTTGAAACCAAGTTGAGTTACTGCCTTGCTAAAGCTGAGTCGAATTTAATCTGTTTAATTCGATTAGTTTTGTTCGGCACGGCAGTAGCATGACGTTTGAAACGGGCCTAATATTAAGAGAGGAGAGATATCTTAGTGAAATGGTCGATAACTTAATTAATATGCAAACCATAAATATATTGGCCCCATACATAGACTATTTACCCGAATTTCTACCGATCAAATTTAACGTTTCAACAAAGGTTTTCAGGGGCGGATCTAGGGGGAGGGTGCAGGGGGTGCGCACCCCTCCCTGAGATGACCTGCGGTGTTCTAATACAACTGGTATTCTGCAAAAAAAAAAAAAAAAACTATGTGGTTTATTGGTGTTGAAGTAGAGCAAGAGATGAGTGCACCCCCTCCTAAAAAAAATCCTGGATCCTCCCCTGGTTTTGGTTTTTGGAATTTACGACGGTCGTGATTTATTTTCTAGCTTGCTGACCCAAACATCGAGCAGCTACTGAGCTACGCTGAAAACCTTTTTTAGTTCTCCATGCTCTCGTGCAAAATGCAAAGGCGGCTTCGGCGATACTATGCAAGAGAACGGCTTATAAAACTAAGAGTTTCAATTTGAGAGTAAATGCTGGCGTTAGAGCCGGGGGTGGGGCATTTGCAAATTTTGCGCTGCCCGGGGGCCGAACATTTGCCAACCCCGGGGCCAACCCCGAGCTTTTGACACGCACGCGGTTTCCTATCAGAATATAACTACACAGAGGATTTTACTTGAAAAACAAGCAGATTGGCTCATTTGTCAAGGATGGGAAAAAATTGAAGAGGTTTGTAAAGGCATGTTCTCGATTTTATGCATGCATTTCTTCATTGCTCATCAAGCCAGAATCGACATAGCGAAACTCGGGAGCTATCGACGTGAATCAACGTTTTTTTGGTTGTTGAATCAAATTTCTCTTGATATTATTTGAAGAACTCGCTTTCATATTTATAAAACTATTCATTGCAGTTAACTTTACAGCGCACTATTCATTTTTAAAATGTCAATAATTTTATAACAATACTAAAACCATAAACTGGTGTCGTCACGGCGTGAAGTCTCAATTAGAATAGCACAAAAAATCGCACATTAAAATGCTTAAAATGGCACTATTCAACAGTGCGATCAATGAAAAATGTTGGAGTGTTGCCCTTTTTTTCCTTCCCATCCTGGGAGATTTGACAGCTCAAGAGTCCTTACCCCCCCGGGAATTTGCCATCCAAGGCCAAAAAAAATGCTTATGCCCGGGGGTTGGGGAGTGCTGGGCGCAGCTGAAATTGACTGATGCATTAATTTTTAGTAACGGCTTCTTTATATTTTTTTAGATTGCTCTATAACCCTATGGAAATAATTTCATCGAGGTCACGAACGGTTAAGTGATGAATCCCGAGGAAGATAAGATATTTTTATGTGTTTGGCTGCTCTACTATGTCAACAATTTTTGCCGATTTGCGAATGGAGGTGTGAAGATATAGACGCAAGGATAGTAACGGGTTTAATGTGGTGCTCGAGACGTTTTCTTTTGACTTAAAGGTTTAAAAGCAATTGGACCCGTCGGTAGCTTGCGTAGCAGGCGCTTTCCAACGCGGCCGTAAAATTTTACAGTTTAATTGCCCCAAGCTTTTCTTTCCTCGAAACGGATAACCTGCGATCAGGCTTTTTTTTTCTCAGAGGAAAAATTATCTCCATGAAGGAGGATTTGATCGATATCCCACCCCCATTTATTAAACGAATTGGCAAATAGAGCAGCCAAAGACATATAAATCTCTCGTCTTCTCCCGAGATTCATCACTAAAACGCTCTGGATCAATGACCTTGATGAATACCTTTACAAGCAAATGAAGACGTCCACGTGCGTTTTACGATCTTTTACTTGATGTCATCGGACGGGAGCAAATACTCCGGATGATAAGAAAACCAATCGACTGCCATGCTTTTGATCTTACATCCGACAAATTTTGCCTTTTTCCAGCCATTGGAGAGAATAGTGTGCTGGCTCGCATACGACTCGCCAGCAATAATATTAAATCTAGCAAACGTTGTTTCCATAGTTACTCGTCCACTCGTCATGACGATATAACTTATTGATCAGTGCCGATATTTGTATAAGAGTACGCTTGCAGACAAACGCTGCGCTGACAGATGCACCACAGTAAGTAAAGGGCTGTAATAAGTCAGTGAGATGGTGACAACTTATCACTGAAAAACTGGTCAATAGATATACATATATATAATTGAAGGAATCCGGCACAGATCAAGATAACAACCCTTCCAAATTAACATTTATAGCCTTGTAGATGTACAATACTTGTTATGGGAGGTTTTCAAGCCTAACAGAGATGCTAAGGGTTACTTGCAGATGATGCTAATTAAGCTACATAAGGTAGTTTACGTGAGAAACAGGAACTGGAAGTATTTACTAGGATTCTTAACTGTGCGAAGAATGTGAATCTGTTTTAATTAACACTGAATGCACTAAAACGGTATTCAAAGTTGAAAAACAGAGTTGTCATTGAAACACCAAGGTGCCCGCGGCGGCAGACTTAAAGACGTAACCGGTGAATTCTGTGGTATTACTCAAAGATAACGACGTTTTAGACTAAAGTGGTTAAGCATTCAAATCATAGTGAAAAGTGAATAGCGTTTAAAAGTGTCACAAAATTTCTTCAGTTCTGATTTTCAAAAGATTATAGTGGACAAAAAAACCCACATGATTTATTATTGCAGGGTAATTTTCAGTAAGGCAAAACAATTGCATCAGATCCTAATGAGTAACAAAGTTCAACTCCCTTTTAAGTGCGTAAATATCACCCATATCACTTATGACAGGAGCTCAGTCATATTTCAGTCCTTCATTTTTATCTTTAACCTCAGGTGGCTTGAATTATTTTTTAGTCGCCATAAGATAAATGTAAGTTGTGAAATTATAGACAAGAAAAACATAGAACTGTAGCATTGACCTTTACAAACACTACAATTTATACTACTCTATAATTAATGATGACTGGAGTCTATAGAAAGGTAAACAAGTATTGCCAGTTGAAACAATAAATAGATCCTTACAAGAGTGGTAAAACTAGTCAACGGAAAGAGAGGTAATTGGGGCACTTATTCTATTTTCAAATTATTCAAAAATGTTCAAAAAAAGTAAGGAATGCCTACCCTGGGTGCAAAAGACTATTCATGCGCGGTTTCTAGTTACGGTCAAGTCTTTACTGAACAGTGAGAAAAGTTTTTTTTTCTCTCCGCTTCGCCGCTCGTGACGTCGGCCTGCGACCGTCACCGAACCATCCAGCAACAAGCTAAGCGAGAAAAAAATCTCTGGTACCCAGGGTAAGCAAGCTGTGTAACTTGCAGAAACAGGCCAGGGACGATTAGCTTTGACGACCAACAAGCCTTTCGAAATTTCAGCTTTTATATCTTTTCACGTCGAACAATTTATTTCATCAACTCAAGCTGATAAAATTCAATTTTTGTCTGCGAAGCTTACTCTTGCTTCTTTGTTTTCTCTTGTTTCTTTATTCAATAGACATGTTTTCAGTTGCCGCCATTGTTGCCATAATAACCGGCTCACAAGTGCTCGCTCAATGTGACGTCAAATCAGGAGCGGGTTTGGCTCTCATCGGGCATGCGTACTTGAGCCTCCCAGCGCAAGACGCCCATCAGTGTTATGAGAAATGCAAGTCAGACGAACCAAAGTGCCGTAGTTTGAATTACTATGGTGACAGCAAGTTCTGTGAGCTTAATAACGTAACCAGGACATCTCATCCGGGTGACTTGAAGGAAAACCCCGTATCTGTATATTTTGAAAGCCGATATAGAGGTAACAACCAATAGCCATGTTAGCATGGTCGATCAAGAGATTAAAAGTTCTTTAAGCACAAACGCTGAGAAGTTCAGATAAGCATTCCTTCTGTACCTGACTCACAACAGTATCGTCATCCACTTATTCTGTGCAAACCTTTCACTAGTTTTAGAAACGAGCGACGAGTAACCAGTTAAAGTATGGCCTGAGACGACGCTCTCGTTCTGCACTAAATATAGCTGAATATTGATCACCACCCAGTTTTATTAATTGTCTCTCTTGCTTTCACCTATCCTTATTGTCCTGCATGTTATGTCAAAGAAAAGACTGAAAAAAGGAATTAAAATCTGAGTAACAGATCTTTAAAACATCCACAGTTACCACTGGTTCACAGCGGTCTGTTGCAGCCAGTTCTTGTCAAGACATTTTGCAGCGAGGGGACTCTACCGGAAATGGATTCTACTGGTTGGATTCAAATAGTACTGAGGACCCGTATGTTACGTTTTGTAACATGACCAGCGGAGGAGGTAGTACCGATACACGATTGGATCAACCATTGCTTCCGCCTTAAACCACGTTGGATTATACCTGTAGCCTCTGACCCAAGTCTTATCTTGCTTTTTCATGTTATTTTGAGTTTTGGTTGCACTGGAACTCGTAACAAGAATATTTGCTAGTGAATAAAAACCCGTTCAGACTTTGGGTAGTGTAACATACACAGCGCGGGAAACAACCCCAAAGTTCTTTTTTACCTTAGGCCTCCTAGTCTGCCCGTCGGACAGAATCTGGGGAATCAGTGGGAAAGCAGACAAAACAATGGTTTTTGTAACTGGTTTTTCAGTTTTCCTGTCTTGCATAAGTAGGACTGTCTTATGAATTAGGTGAGGAGAAAGTTTCATAAAGTAGAATAAAATCGGACCAGGAAAGGCACTTTTCTCGCAAAAAAAAAATTAAAAAATGTGTTATTAATTTTTTGGGAGGTGGGGAGGGGCAAAGGAACTGCTTGTTAAATTATGATTTTGCTTCCTAAACTGACATCCAGCTCCCATTATATTTTCAATCAGTAGTCAATTAATAGACAGAAATGCGTTTCAGAAAACTGGCCCCAGTAATTATTTAACTCTGATCTTTATCTCAGTTATCATAGTTTATGCGTTGTTTTTAACAGATACTAGTGCCTCATTTGACTTGATATTTAAAGACCGCAATACTTCCAACTACCTCGAACTTGAAACGTTTTTCCCAAATCTCTCCTCGTTCACGGTGTGCTTATGGTTCAAATCCATGGAGCGACAATTGCTTTTCTTGTCTTACGCCACGGAACCCTTCACAGACGCAATCATGATGTTTTTAAGCTCAACCGGACTATTCAGATTCCTGGTGATGAATGAGCAAACGTGAGTACATTTTGATGTGACCGAACTGACGAGGCACGATAAATTTTAGACTAAGATAGACTCTTTATTTTCATCAGTCTTAGTAGAGGGAGCAAAAAAAGGAGAGCGCGCGTGAGTCTCTATCGAAATTGAGAAGTACCTTTGTCTACGGGTATTATCAGAAAAAAAAAAGAAATTTGAATGATATTAATGAAGAGGCCGTAGAGTAATCACTCATGAGCAGTTGTTTTGTCATATTTGTCGATCTAGGCACTGTAAGCGTGGCTGTTGAAGTAGCCTGAGTATCAGGCCTTCCTAAGGGGCTAGGAGATAGGAGATTTTTTTCGCTCTCTTTCTTTTTTCGCTTCTCTCTTGCCCATTTCCCCCCAGAAACGCCTGATACTCAGGCTCCGGTTAAACAAGCAGAGCTTTCATTGTCGTAAAACCGGAATACACTGAGTTAATAGTCTAAAACGTTTTTTTTCTAGTCATGGTCATACAGGAACCTTTGAAGACAAGACTTGGCATCATTTGTGTGGTACATGGGCCAATCATGATGGTGTTGTCAGATTATTCATAGATGGTGACTGCAAACTTACTAGCAATCGAACCATCCATGGGGTAATTCCTGGCACTGGAAAGCTGATTTTGGGGCAAGACCAAGATATAATGGGAGGGGCTTTCGATTATCAGCAGAGCTTTGTAGGCGAAATGAGTCATCTGTACATCTGGAACACTGATCTGGGAACCAGCGTCATATCCACCTTGAGCATGCACTGTAAAGAGCATCCATACCCTGGTTATATTGTGAGGTGGTCTGACTTCACGGAGGCGGGGATACACGGCAATATAACGAAGCGAAATAACTCAAGATGCTTAACATCGCAAGACATGCTGCCATAAAGTTGAAACTGTGTCTGTAAATCAAGCTTTGAAGACAAGATCAATCAAAATTTTGCATTTGTTTTAGGTTTTTTGTGCAATTCATCACCTCTTGTTTGTTAGTTCTGCACAGTGATTAAAATTTGGGATATTGTTTTCTCTCCGTTTTAAATACTATACCTCAAACAATTTCAGGAAACCGCCGCCTGGTTAGCTCAGTTGAGAGAGAGCCGTTTAGCTGTTCGGGAGGTCACGGGTTCAAAGGCCCGGTCTTTAAATAACTGAGAAGAAAGTGCTACCTTTGTAATGACATCTGCAAACGGTTAGACTTTCTAGTCTTCTCGGATAAGGACGAAAAACCGTGGATCCTGTCTCAAAGTACTTTCACTTAACTGGTTCTTATGGAAGGTAAAAGAACCCACACCTGGCACTGTTCGAAGAGGGTAGGGGAGGTAGTCCTCGGTGGTGTGATCAATCTTTCCTGGCCTGGGTGGGTTATCTGTATAACAAGAGATCATAAAATATGGATAACCCTGATGGTCCTCCTTCAGGTGTTGTAATGCTGCCTCGTTTCTAGGCGTCTCAAGTGTAGAAAATGGAAAACGCGACTGCACGAGCCATCAAGGAGTATCGCGCAATGGACCATGGGAACGTTTAGCGTGGACGCAAAGGACCTACAGGGCGGAACCAAACTCCCAGTCGCTGTCGAATCTGCTAGAACGCGCCTGGGTACGAGGTAGTGTTGTGATGGTTACCTTTAAAAAGTGTATGGATTGATTAATCTCCATAAATGGCGGTTTAGTTCGGTGACAGAGATTTTCTACTCCTCATTTCTAGCGCCGCTTCGGCGCGAGTGAAGTTTCTTCATTATGCTCCAAGGAAACCGTCACTACTGCCGGGGGCGGGGGAGGGGGGGAGGGGGGGTAAGGGGAGGAATAGGTATTACTTATCCTCAGTCGCAGTCATTTTGTTTTGTGGTACTCGCGTGTTACATGCATGTGTCTCTCGAAATCGGTGCCAACCGTCCACAAATTTCTTTATAACTTAGTTGACGAAAAAGTCAGATCAGGGTCTACTCTACTAAAAATATTAAACCAATTAATTATTTGTATTATTGGTATACTGCACATGAGAAATGGAACTCCTTGAAGGATTAAAATGGAAAGTTGAAAAGCTTTATTGATGGGCTCCTGTCTATTGTTATTATCTTTTGCCCTTTTCTCCCACACCGTCTACATTCCCGTTTCATGTAAGGTCAGTTCCCCTAAATAGAACCAGAAAAACAATTGCTGAATTCAAGGTAAAGGAAAATAAATTTGATAAACGAGTATTTCCAAAAACGAATCACTGTCTCACTCCTTCATAGTGACTCACCGACAAAAAGGTCTAAATTTCCCTCAGGAATGAGCTAACGTTGTCATGGAAATGAAGTTTTGGATTTCGGCGTTTTTCATTCAACTACACAAAAGATAAAACGGTTTTCCAGTATATTTTATTCTTCAGTTTCTTCTCGTTTTTTGTCTTTTTTTCTTCCCTTCTTCCTTCCTTCAGTTTTTGGTTCTTCATGTACTCAATATCCACTGGGTGAGCAGAGGGGGTAGAAAGAGTAGGCCGGATCGTCCAGATTTGTATTCTTTTAGTCGGCTGGTTAGTTTGTTACCCGGTTAGTTGGCTAGTCAGGCTCTGTCCATCCATAGTCGGATGTCGCTCGTTTATTCCAATCCGTACAGTGTTGATCCTCCAGCATTTGTCCAGCCCAATGTGCCCTTTCTTGGTGGCTTTAACCGGCTGGATTAATTAAACCGAATCCTCAATCACTACCGAATGATTTATGGTAAAGGTTACTAAGTCAACGATATTGACCCTCGAAAAACGGCCCAGGACCTACTCCGGGGGCGCGATCCATTCAACCAAAATTTCCGGAAATTTCGGTCCAAAACTCAATGGATCGGTTCGGTCCAACCGGAAAAGTTTCGAAAAAACGGGTCCACCTTTTGAGGTGGTCCTCTTTTCCCGGTCGGACCGGTCTGAATTTTGGTTGAATGGATCGCGCCCCGGATTTTAGTTTATAGGGATGATCGAAAACGTGAATTTGTACCACGTGACCAAGCTTCCTCTGCCTGCGTAGCAAGCGCGCGTTCGTCGAGAACGTTGGGATGAGAGCAGCTTCACGTTGGTTTTGTCTACATCAGTTGTTTTGGACTGTTTTTAGCTGTTCGCTTGCCATTTTGAGGAATTCTCAGCTAAAATATGTACTCAGGCCCCATTATGGTTAAGATAACCGTGGGGCACTGGAAAGAGAAAAATGAGAGCAGCAATATGTCTCGAGTGGAAATTTGTTCTCTCGCTTACGAGGGAAAATTTAAAGAACTGAAGGAGAAAATAGATTTGAAACCAAGTTTAGCAACCAAACTAGACGAGGTAAGACTTTGGTGAAAATCGGGCCTAGTTTGTTTGGATGTGAGGATGAAATTCACGTATTATTTACGCCGGGGAATGAGCAATATAACATGTATACCATAAATCATCTAATAGAAGCCCTATCAAATAAATGCCTCTTGTCTAATAAACACCCCTCTGCACTTGTAAGTTTGTAAAAATTTACATGCCCCTCTCTAATATACACCATAACCTGTCTAATAGATGCTTTGCTTGACAGTTGCTCCAAAATACTAAGAAAAAGTGAAATGGAGAAAAACTTTTCAGTTCATTCACTTTCTTGTTTGAATAACAGAAGTTGTGCATTGCATCTTGTTCAATGGGACGTTCAAAATAAGGATTCTGCCCTTAAAGTTGAACTTTAAGATATGATGTGGATCTATGAATGGAAGAGACATGTCAGTGGATGACAGTTTTGTGTAGTTTGTTACAGTTCTGAGAATAAACACCTCTCTCTCCAATCTGTCCAACACCCCCACTTGAGCTCCCAAAATTTAGAAAACACCCATTTATCCTAGTAGCCTTGGGTCATTTACCATCTGTAGTTTCATATTGCACAGTTTTCTTAACATCAAATGGCCCAAGTTTGGTACATGTATTTCTATAGCTAGGAGCATTAACCTGCAAAACTAACAATCAGAATAGGCTACTAAATTCCAAAATAATAAGGATGGTTACTGTCTTGAATTAATGTTAGGGCAGTCATCATAATGTGTATTTAATTTTAGAATGAACGAATGCCAATTCACTGGGCAGCGTCAGGTGGACACACTGATATTGTCAGATTTTTGCTCGATCTTGGAGTGCCAGTAGATAACAAAGATGATGTAAGTTTTAAGTTTAAAAGTGTGTTGTGTCAGAAAAATACATTTTAACTTAGTGCTTATTTATGCACACCCACTTATTCATGAATGCCCATTTACAGTACTATTATTTTTATTTGATCTTGAACTACACCCAAGTAATCTGGGCACTCATGAATGCAGGTAGCCTGAAATTTATCCGATTTCTTCGAGTCGTTTTCTCCTCTCAACAACGTCTGAATCGACGGGCCGTTAATGCCATCCAGTGACGTCACTCACTACTCGAAAACCTGGTAGCAATTATTGGTTGATTGTCTAAACATTTGCATATATTATGTATAATTATGAAAAATTTTAGCGGGATTGTCGCTTGATATTCAACGGATCCTATCCCTGGCATTGTTTCATGTAGTTCAAACATTTCGATAAGCTTAATCTTTATCTTAAACAGCAAAATTGCCCTTGTCTTCGAAACTGAAATGCTAAATTGAACTCCGAATGAAGAATCATTGGGGAGAGTCGGTAGGTTTTTCATTTAGAGCCGCTTTGTGGTTTCAGCGGCCAGTGATTTTGTTTACGCAAAGTTTTCTGAGATCAATGTTATAATTCGACCTTCTTGCTATTTTCACCGTCAAGTGTAATGATTCTGTTAGCTTTTCTTTCTCGTTTCCTTGTTTTTTTTTTTCTTTGTTAAGGACCAAATAGCTTCTTTTCAATTAAAGCAAATCATTGTGTTTTTGAACTAAGTGTTGTATGTGTGTGTTTATTTCATTGCGTGATTGCGACCGACTTTGATTATAGAATTCAGTACAGCTGGTTCAGAGTTGTACTGCATGCAGTTGATAGTTTGAACGTTAAACATGAATTACGATCGAAAAAAGTAAAGTAATTCTGTATCATGCAGACATTTTTTAACAATATTTCTTGGTTTGCCACTTGAAAATCGTGTTTTACTTTTTGCATGAATTAAAGCAAAGGTCAAGGAGTAGTGACGTCACTGGACGGCATTAACGGCTGGTCAATTCAGACATTACTGAGGGAGTAATTACGACTCGAAGTAATCGGATGAAATTCAGGCTAAAATGCAGGGGACTCAGAATTTCCTTCTTTCTTAATTCCTTGGCTTGTAGAATTGTCAGTTAAGATATTACAAGTAATAGCCAGCTAGTTTTCATAAAATAATTTGCTGTCATTTCAAGTGCTAGTGCCATCAGCTCTTGAATCCAATCAATCCCACTGCAGGTATGTAACCTGTGTGTCACCTAACAGTACAAGCTGATTTGAAATAACTCCTCGTTTTGTTATCTCCCCAACCAATGGATCAGTTTCATAAGAACTGAGTGTATTCTACTGCTGTCTTTATAGTCACACTGGACACCACTCATGATTGCTACATCAGCTGGAAGAGATGCAATTGTTTCTATGTTAATTGGTCATGGAGCTGATATAAACAGCTCAAATGAAGGTGGACAAACAGCATTACATTATGCAGCATCAAGAAACAGATATGAAGTATGAGAATCGTACATGTGGTACAATTTGTTTAAGTGTTTAGTTAAGGATTTGTGGGAAATGGCTTTTTCTTTTTCTGACCTAGTAATCAATTTTGGGCCAGTGTGCTGATAATAATTATCATAGTAATAATTTATTGCCAAGCTCAGGGGGATGAGGTAACAGCTACGCAACAGCCACTGAGTCTGAGCATGACAGGTGGGAAGAGTGAATGTTGGAACTTGAGTGGAGCCACGTTTTCATTTAATATATATCTTCATCGTATCAAAGTAGGAGAAATGCTTTCATAAGTTCCTATCACAAATAGCTGATCAGGTCATGCTACAAATCTACAGAAATATTGCTGATGTGTTATGGTCTGTGAGTAACATAAATATATTTTTTAACTTCTAACATGGTAGTTAAAGACGCATTTTTTAATGTACATTTCCCATTCTTTCAAGAGAAAAACTATTCATAATGATCACAGGATCATCAATAACTTTTTCTTCAACTAATTTAGTATCAATTTAATCAAAAGCTCATATTTTTCACTGAATTCAAAAAACAGCTAGATTATCGGTTATTGTGGAAATAATGAGTCCTAATTGATGTTAGATTGCAGAAGAGCTTCTTCAAACTGGTGCACATGTTAATGTGCAGGACAGAACAATTGCTGGTACTCCTCTGCATCGCGCTGCATCAAGGTACAATAGACTTATGTCATAATGCTAGTTGAAGAAAACGTTGGCCAACGTATCTGCAAGTTGACCACCTTAGTAACCAAAAAAATGGGCATGGCAGTTTTTAAAAATGGGTGGATTGTAGAGGAATATTAATTAGCCACTGGAGTTCCATAAACTCTAGCACTTTTTTTTAAAATAGGGCTGGCCAAAAACGGTAGCAGAAAATCATCATGCTTTTCTCAAACTTTTCATGATAATGTTTATTCAAATATTTCTGTAAATGTCTAGCTCACTGTTGGCTGGTTTTTGGTGCTAAAGGTAGTTGTTTTACCTAATTTCTCAGAAATGTCTTAGAGAAATCCACTTTTAATATAATAACAAATTAATTTTATACAATGTGTCAATGAATCCCAAGTGTGGGAGACTCCCATATAAAAGTGACTGGTATGCTCATTGTCTTGCTTTGGGGTGTAAATTGCAGATTTTGGTCTCACGTAGGGTGTTTGGGATGGAAAGTCACCATATTTGTCCATTCAGGTATCTCTTAGCACTGTGCATAATGAAATTTACAAAAAATGCCCTGACCCTGACCACACAGAAATCTCCCTGGGGGGTCAGTTTAAGCTTGAGTCACACCCACATTGGTCTCCCTGAGGGATTTAATTTGAATTTTCCGACGAGCATACCCGTCACTTTTATAAGGGAGTCCCCCCGGCGATGAATAATGGTAATAGAACTGAATTTATTCCAGGGGAGGAGGAGGGGGGGTTAAAGTCATGAAATGATTAGGCAAAACCCAGACTTTATAAGAGTTCAACTTAGGGCTTTATATGACTGGCCAGATTCCAGAGTTTTGTTAAACACCAAAAAAAAGTGGAAAAAGGCAAAAAAAAGCGAATATTTGCAGGTTTGGTTAAAAAAATCGTTTATGGTAAGCCTTTGCCTCTGGTTTGTTTTGAAAGAGGTCATTCCAAGATAGTGAAGCTCCTATTGAAGCATGGTGCTCGTTGTGATATACAGGATGCAGAGGGCAACACAGCACTGTGAGTATAAACCCACCTATATTATTTAAGCGATACAATACAATGTACCATTACCCCGTGTTTACTTCTTTAGTGCTATCAGTCTGATTATCTACAATGCTTTTCTCTTCAGTCACATGGCTTGTCAAGAAGAAAGAGCTGAAATAGCTGTAATACTAGTAGAAAATGGAGCGAACCTACACATACAAAATAAGGTAGGAGATTCTAATCATGAATCAAACAGATATTTATCTATATCTCACTGCCATATTTCAGGTCTTTACAGTAAGTTACAGAGCACGCCTTTACTTAGTGAACGAATTAAGAAGAGGATAGCGATGTCTTCAGTAATTCGGGAGTCAACGTGGTCAGGTGGAGACTAAGTAGTTCACTTGTTTCCTAGGGTTGAAGGAGGGGGACGGCTGAATTTCAGGTCAAATTGTTGGTTGTGTGATCAGAGCGTAGACGCCGGACTTAAGTCCCGCGGTTTACTAGCTAGAGAATTGTTTCAGGGTAGTGCCGAGTTCACTTGCTTGGTCAGGGGTGGAGCTAAGTGTCCACGTCAGTACAAAGTTGTCAGGGGGTTCAAATAATTGGGATGTTGATTACGGGTGTTTTACGGATTTTTGAAAACGCTGCTAAGAGGGCCACGGAGAAATACCGAGGTGCTTTAGTTTGTCTTTATAATGTTGATGTACTTGAATAGTCTAGCATTCGTATTGGGCCCCGCCAATCTACTGCCTTATGTACCGTTATCGCAAGTGAGTTACTAAACCTTGAAATTACTAGTTTTGGTTACTCACCTGTTTCTACTTCGCCGTGATAACTACAGTACATAGCTTACGATCTTCTTAAACACGCTTTATATTTGTCTTCTTTAGGGAAAAGTGACCCCCTTGGATCTCGCCAACAAGGGGCTTGCGAGACAGCTTATTCAAATGAGAGATGAGTATGACTGACTCCACATGTGAAACTCGTGGCAGGCAAGTCAGCGTCAATTTCCCAGCAGTTTTTCACCTCACTTACCGGAAGTAAAGAAAATGTTAAGAAAGGAACATTCTTAATGACATTATTTGAAGTTATCAGAATTAAGTATAGAAACATTGAGACCCCCGAGCTATTATTCCATTCTAAGTTCATTAAAAGTACATTTTTGCTTTTCTNGAATAGTCTAGCATTCGTATTGGGCCCCGCCAATCTACTGCCTTATGTACCGTTATCGCAAGTGAGTTACTAAACCTTGAAATTACTAGTTTTGGTTACTCACCTGTTTCTACTTCGCCGTGATAACTACAGTACATAGCTTACGATCTTCTTAAACACGCTTTATATTTGTCTTCTTTAGGGAAAACTGACCCCCTTGGATCTCGCCAACAAGGGGCTTGCGAGACAGCTTATTCAAATGAGAGATGAGTATGACTGACTCCACATGTGAAACTCGTGGCAGGCAAGTCAGCGTCAATTTCCCAGCAGTTTTTCACCTCACTTACCGGAAGTAAAGAAAATGTTAAGAAAGGAACATTCTTAATGACATTATTTGAAGTTATCAGAATTAAGTATAGAAACATTGAGACCCCCGAGCTATTATTCCATTCTAAGTTCATTAAAAGTACATTTTTGCTTTTCTTATGCATTTGTGTTAAACGCTAGATACCTAGTCATAATGTACAACTTAAAGAGATTTATTACTTCTTAAAAGTTTAAATTGTACATAATCAGAAACTGTTTAAAAATCAGTGGCAGTAAAAGTTGGCCGGATTTGAAAGTTGTCTCTCAATTTGAGGGGGGCGTAAGGGGGGTCCGAAAACCGCAAAACCGCACAGAAATACGCCAAAAAACCGCAAACCGCATCGGATTTTTTCCCGAGTACCGAAACCGCGCGTACATGTAGGCCACAATATGAAAGCTGACGTTAGCAAGATTTGTGATATATTCTGATATTAAACATTATGCGTTAGTATTAAACATTCCATCATAACGCTAACGATATATTGTACTACACTATTATATTCTATTTACTACTAACCAAAATTCCAAGTATGCTGGTCATGTACTTGAACGAGTATTGATATCTCCCTTGACTTTGAAAAACTTTGTCACTGATCCTGTACGTCTTTCATTGGTTGACTGATTACTTTGGACGACCCTGTGCTAGTTGTGGAACGCGGAATAAATGTTTCTTCTGGAATTGTGACCTTCTTGTCTCGTAACGAGTTCACGTTCCAATGGAGAAGACGATTGTTAAAACGTACAGCTCTTCCGTAACGAGTTCTTGCACCTATTAAGAATGTCGCCGAACTTCCAATTTCCCCTTGGAGCAACGCGGAATCTTCTTCAACTTCTTCATCGCTGCTTTCATCAAAATTGTCCCCCTCCTCTTCCTCCAACTGGTTTACTGCGGCATCGTCTGAAGTATCATCAGACTGCACGTCAAATGCAATGGAGACAGGGTTTTCAAAGATTTCACATTGTCTCTGGTACATAAACTCAGGGAGTGTACCGTGTCGTACCATAGTGGTCTCTTGGCGTAAAGTTCGCTGTCTTACGGCAGATCCATAGGAGGCGGCCCAGTCCCTGAGTGAATCACAGTCTGCTTGACACATGTTGACGATAGGAAGAGGTTTCATCACAGGAACCTGGGACAGCAACAAGGCACTCTCTGGAGTGGGGTACCATGATCGCCTGCTCGTGTGATAGTACGCTGCCCAGTTGGTCATACTTAAATTGTTTCAGGTTAGCATGCAATCTCTGTAGACCTGTGTCTATCATGGCAACTGATGCCACTGTCCTGGCAGACACATGCCCCTGCGGTCCATTAAGTGTGGTGTGGATGCCAGTCAACTTTTGAATGTCACGGGTGTTCTCGTCAAGCATCTCTCTGCACTTCCCCACAAGACCAATGGCTTCTTGTGAAGACTTGACCGAGAAATGAGCACCTCTGTCGTGCACGGAAAAGGCTTCGTAGAGACAGCCAATTGCTTTGAGAAAGTGTGCGCATTCTTGTAGTTTGGTACAGAGTTTTGACTCAAAATGGACGAAATGGTCTTAAACAAACACCATTCACAAGCCAGTATCGTATATCGAATAAGTTCAAAACCCAAAGGGTCCCAAAGGACCTAAAGCCCTGTACAGGTCCTCTACAGGTCTACGACCTCGTCTACAGACCTAAAGAGACTAAATATTATACGACCACTTAGTGATCTGGAATCAGTGCTGCTTTGGAATGCGTAGACGTTTTTTGGGAGCTTTACATTACATTAAAACTAAGTAAAAATGTGGTAGTACCCCCGGGGGGGGCACTTGGGTATTTTTTGGGTGGGTATGTGCCGCCGGGGACTCCAAATTGGCACCCCGTTCTAAAAAATAATTTCCCCTAAAACTGATACCCCGTTCTAGAAATGGGCCAATTTTTTGTACCCCGTTTTAGAGTTCCCCCTAAAACTAATACCCCATTCTAGAAATGGGCCAATTTTTTATATTCCGTTCTAGAAAGTGTGTAAATTGAAATAGCCCTGTTTTTTTAAAAAGACATTTCTTTATTTGTTCGACTTATACATCAAATAAATGCTTCATTATAATCAGCAACAATTTTAAGCAGAAGATAAAGCCGTGATCCACAAGTTTTTATACCCCGTTCTAGAAAACGCCTCTGAAATGGATACCCCTTCTAAATCAGGAGCCTCAAAATCACGACCCCGTTGGGCGGCACATACCCGTATAGGTAATGTATGGGAGTACCGCCCCCCCCCCCCCCCCCCCCC